AATTATAATTACAAAATGTGTGAGATATAATATAAATTTAAATTTTGTTAAATTTATTATATAATTATTATTAAATATTATGATATTTTTAATATCAAATATTTTTTTTTCTCGCAGCTATTAATGTAAAAAAGTACCCTCAGTTTTGAAAAACCAATTTATAATTCCTCCCCTGGCAAAGGCTGGAATTCTAAACAAGAACTAAGGGTATTTTCGACAGATAATATCGAAAGTCAGGGGTAAAACGGTCTCAAAGAACAACATAAATACGTGGTGATAGGGCATCTTTGGTGGTGAACCAAACAGGGAAGAAGGCGCCTCCAGAAAGGAGACGAAGAAGAAGAAAGAAGAAGGAAGAAGAAAGAGGAAGAGGAAGAGAGGAATATTTAGAAGAGTTAAAGTCCGGCGATCGGCAGTCGAGTTCTGATAATCGGACGGTTATCTCTTTCGTGGAATAATCGCGTTCTGGTGTTGATCGATAACTTTATTTGGAAGAAGAAGAAGAAGAATCAGAATCACGGCGAGGACTTGAGGAATTATTGCGAGGATTTGTGTTAAATCGTTTCAAGTTTCGACAGTCTTCAAATTCCGAGGCGGATTCTTTTGAGTTGAAACATCAGGTATTGAAAAACCCTAGATTTTGATTTCTACTACGCTTTCTTTGTGGTTGTTTTTCCTTCCTCCAAAAACCAGTGGAGCCGTGCAATTCGTGTTTCTGTCAGATCTTAGAGAATCTCTCAATCGGAGGTTATGGTGTTGGGAGAGCTTACTCAAGCAATCGTTTAAGTTCAACGAGAAGCGATCTTGTCGTTGGATTCTTCTAGATCAACCATAGATTTAGGGAGACATCTGAATCAATTGATTTCTTCATCGCTGCTGGAGATCTTTTAAATGCTTGAATCTCTTCTGAAAAAGCTGCAGGAGCTTTTGATTGTGATTTTTTATGCATAAAATAGGAGTACACCGTTGCTACAGGAAATTTTTCATAGGCTATTTGTGATTTTAGTGTGAATCGTTGCAATCTACTAAGCTGCTTGGCAAACCAAGACTGTTATGTTGCTGTCTTGCTGCTTCTTCCTGGGGAAAAACTAACTAGATAGAAATTTTTAGGGTATTATACTTTAATTTGCAGGAGCTATGATGATTGCTTGCACTGCTCGCGATTTGTGTTGTGAATTTGGTATTTCGTGTTTATATCATTGGATCTATGAGTTAGGGACTATTTTTCATAATTTGAAGTCCACCATGTGTTTGCTTATTGTGGTCATGGCTTGTGAAATCCAAAACTCCATATATGCTGAAAAAAGGCAAGGAAATATGAAGTTGTTGGCCCTTTAAAAAAGAATAGGAGATTCATGTTTCTGATTTTTGGAAGCTCTTTGGGCCAGCTGGGTCAAGAAGCAAGTCAGATGCCAAATATTTTTGCAAACTTGATTGAAACAACTACATTCACTTTTTATTCGGAAAGTAATGTGAAAAAAAATTCATAGGGATGAAAGTGTGATAAAATCTACTTATTGATGATATCACCCATTGTTGTCTGTCCTGTTAATGTTTTATGGTTCTTATATGGTTGCAAAGAAGCTCGATTCCAGTATTAGAAACCCACTATTACCAATGCTACACTCCCAATTCTGGAAGTTTTGCAGGCCTTCAAAACTGGTTAACACCATCTGCCTCAAGGTAATGGCCTGTGGAGGCATATGCTGCCAGTCTTGTTATCAGCGTTTTAGCTTGATAACAATTTCTTGTGTTAGGTGGACTAGATATTTTGGCTTGTTTTATTATAATTTTTTGCGTTCTTATCTACCATTATCTTCATTTGATGGATCCTGTCCTTTCTTTTACAGGTAACAGAAAGGCTCAAGGCAGTTAGGGCTTCAATTATTGCTGTGATTGTCAGAAATATAATTTTTCAGTTCAACTCCTGACAAGATTGGAGGAACCAAAGTAACTGTAGGTTTCCAGGAACCTTTTGTCCCTTGTTATTCTCAGCACCCAGATGACATGGGAATTGTGGAAGTTAATGGTCTGCATGTTTGACATTTCTTCTTGTTCTGTTTTCTGACAATTTGGTCTGGGATGGCATAGAAGTCAATTTGGAAACTTGGAACGAATTTCTCAGCCTTCATTTTGCCAGTCGCTTAAATTCTGATTTATCCAGCTTGGGTCTGATAATTTTGTTGTCAGGATTATCAGTTTTTGTTGTTACTTGTTAGTCAGTACATGAAGCATTGGCGCTGTATTATTAGATATAATTGTATTACAAAATGCAGCTGATTGGAGATTTAATTTTTTGCAGAGTAGACTCTGTACCTGCAGCCAGAGTTTTTCCTCTACTCTGGTGGCTAGTAAAAAGCAAGGAGCTGTAGTGTCTTGCAAGATCTGCCGTGATAGATCATCAGTTGATGGGATAAGGTCTGTTTCCTCAAGCATGACGAGCACAGCAGGCTTGGAACTTGACTTGTCTTGGAAGATGGTGTCAAAGGGGAATAGGAGTGCCACGAGAAGAACTAGGAAGTCAGTTGCAAAAAACTCTACTGGAGGAATGCAACTATCTGATGGGAATTCCAGACCAGCAGAGGATGTTACAGTTTCTGACTCTGAAAAGGTTATATTCCACTCTGTAGTTGCATGCTGGTTTTGATTTTGGTACTTGTTTATAGAGGAGCCTCTTTTCTCACCCATGTTTTTCAACTTCTAATACTCTGTTTTTTAATTAGCAGCTTGGAGTGGCTGTTCTAGGTCAGCGCTTTAGTGACAAGATAGAGCATGTACCGATAAAGAAAAGAAGATTCATGTTTCGGTCCCCCTCACCACCCCCCTCACCACCACAAACCCCTTCTCTGCGAGTGGAAGTTTCTGACCAGCATAAAGATATTCAATCTGCTTCAGGTCAAAGTGGTTTTTCAAATACAACTCTGAAGCAACAAACTATGGAAATTGGTACATTGACCAAGTCAACTACTGGTGTTATTGATGGGAAATTTTCAGATGTAAGTAGTGAAAAGGTTGGTTGCATGGAGGATTTCTCAGGAATTGAAATGCTTGCTGCTGCTGCTTGCAATGATGGTGTGGATGATTACACTGATAATAATGAGAAAAATCCTTCAATAGAATCAAAACAAGCAAGAGATGAATCATCATCATCATTCCCCTTGATGCCTTTGGAAGAAACCACTGTATTGTTGGAAACAGACTCTTGCCCTCAAAAAGATTCAGGAAATGAAATTAGAATGGAGGATTCATCTCTTCTGCCCCCAAAAGATTCTGGAAATGAAGCTAAAATGGAGGATTCATCTCTTCTGCCCCCAAAAGATTCTGGAAATGAAGCTAAAATGGAGGATTCATCTCTTCTGCCCCCAAAAGATTCAGGAAATGAAGCTAAAATGGAGGATTCATCTCTTCTACCCCCAAAAGATTCAGAAAATGAAGTTAAAATGGAGGATTCATCTCTTTTGTCTTCAAAAGATTCAGGACATGAAGTTAAAATGGAGGACTCATATCTTCTGCCTGCAAAGGACTCAGGACATGAAGTCAAAATAGAGGACTCATCTCTTCTGCCCCCACAGGATTCAGGAAATGATGATAAAAGGGTGGATTCATCCATTCTGGATAATTCGGTTGCTGTTTTGCATAAATCTCCAAGTGATAAGAAAATGGGTGAAGTGTCCATATGCTTGCCAGATGATCGGTCACTTTGGGATTTAAACCTTTCCATGGATGCCTGGGAGAGGCCTTGTGATAATGGGTGTGATGATTCTAAAAATAATACTGTGGATAATATTAATGTGGATAAGGATGCTGTCCTGCAGAATAAAGATCTTCAAGATAAAAGAACTGATAGTGTGGATGAAGTTGTTTCATTTGAGGTAGATCGGGATAAATGTTCACCATCTAATTATGGAGCTTTGCCTGTTGGAACTGATGGTTTGAATGAAAAGGAACATGAGTTGGGAGGATGCTCTAGTCTCAGTGGAAATAATAACGGACATCTATCATTGACCGCAAATAATGCTGCAGATTCTGCAAAATGTGTTGATGATGATGATGTAAATACTTCCACTCATTTAGTAGGTATGGATCAGTGCTCCAGTCCTCGTCAAGAGGCAGATAACATTACAAGTGTAATGCTGTTGAAGAAAATCACTGAGACACCCCTGTCACAAGGTAATGTTGAGCTGGGTAAAATAGATTGTGTTTATAGGGCTGAGGTAGGCAAAATTACCTGTACAAAAAGCATTAAGGTTGAGGAGTCTGATGTTGTTTCTCCCTATGTACCTGTTTTAGAAAATGCTATTAAAGATGTGGAGTGCCAAACTGTCAATGAAGATGGAAAGACTTACCGTGGAGATTCTGGCCTTCATGATGATAAGATCTCTGGTGAAGACATGGAAATTTGTCAACAAATAGGAAATATTGTTCCTAAAGCTGAGCCTGCTGATGGGGCACAGGAAGTAGGCATTTGCCACTCTTCCCTGAGGTTTGAAGGTATGTTGGCATCGGGCTTGTCTGTCATAGTTGCTGATGTGAAGGGACAAAGTACTGGAGCTTCATCCTCTTTTGATCCTAAAATTGTTACTTCTGCACTTCCAGAGCCTGAGAAAACCTTGAGTTTATCTGAAAGTCATCCTGCTACTTCAACAGCACATGGTTTCATTGAGGCTTGTGGAAATGATGAAAATGGTCCACCAAGCAGTGTAGATAAGGTTGATGCAACAGATTCTTCCAATCAAAATCATGAATCTGCTGCTAGTGCAGCAGCATCTGAGTTTATTGTAGCTCCTGAGGCAGGTGGCAGTGATGGTAATGCTCATTGCAACCAAAACCATGAATCTGCGGCTTCTCAAGATAAGGCATTCATTGGAGGTAAGGAAAGCTCCTTTGATCTTCAGGCTGGGTACGATTCACAGTTTGAGGATGGTGAGCTGAGAGAATCAGATGTCCCATGCTGGGATGAAATAGAACAGGTGGACTATGACACTGAAGGTGAGGAAGAAAGGTTATGTGGCTTGGAAGCTGAGAATAATGAAGAGAAACTGAAGTCTGAAAGAGGTTCAAGTCCAGGATCTGACGACATAATTGAAAAGACCAAAAATAGTGGTACACAAGATGGTTTGGGAGAGAATGCAGTGACCTTGAATTTGACAACTGTGGCAGTGGAGGCTGGTGACTCAAAGATGGATACTATTGATTTTGTGGATGGATCTGGCATCAAAGAATACCATTCTGCATTAGATGGGTCCAAGCCATCCAAAAGGGAGTTGCTTTCAGGCATCGAAGCATCACCATCATGTGATGCTCTACAGACAAGCAGGTGATTAGATGGGATTTCATTTTCTATTCCTTTGAGGCACCATTCTAATTGTGTTTTTTTTTTTTTTTCTCTTGGGCCTTTGTTCTAAGTGCTTGATTATTGATTATCCTGACATTACAGGTCTGACAATTGTGATGACTTAAATCCTCTAGCTGAAAAGGATCCTGCTCCTGAAAATCTCTCTGGAAGGGATAGATCTACTTCTCATATTCGTGGCAGAAGTCCTGGAGGTGGCCCCTATATCAGTCATTCAGCTGGGCAAAGTTCACCTCTTTATCATGGTGCCAATCCTTCTCTGCGTTCCAGGCCAAGAAGTGCAATTGAGGGTCGTGGATATGCAATTTCCGCAGACCAAGCACTTTCTGAACCTGCTGATGCTGCAAGAACTGAAAACCGTATCAGTAGGCAATTTATGGGTTCCCACTCAAATGGTATGTACCGACCACCTATGAGGAGGAGATCACCAGGAGAAAGGGATGATTCTTACAGTATGCACATGCGGATGGCAACTGTGAGAGATACTAGTCCTGATAGAAGTAGGCTCAGAAGATATCCACAAGGAGTTAGTAAGGGTATCAGAGATGAATACCTCAGGCACATTCCAGATGATACCCTAGAATATTTTAGCTGTTTGCCATCATCTGATTCTGTACAGAGGAGCCGGTAAATCTAATTAGTCTGCCTTACATTTCTTTGATTTACATTTTTGATTGTTTGGTTGCTGATTATTCTGATATTATAGGTCTGGCAATTTTGATGATTCTTATACACAATCTGAAAGGGAGGGTGGTTCTGAGAAGTTTATTGGGAGGGATAGACCTGCTACTACCCGTATGCATGGCAGAAACCCAGGTGGTGGGCACTTTTTCAATCCTTCAGGAGGTATTAGAGATGAATACATCAGGCATGTTGCAGATGATGGCAGTGAATATTTTAGCCGTTTGCCATCATCTGATGCTCTACGGCGGAGCAGGTAAATGTCTTGTATCAATCTGCCATTTCTCTTGTGCACATTTCAATTCACTTGTTTGCTGATGATTATGATATTACAGGTCTGGTAATTTTGATGACTCATATCCTCAAACTGAAAGGGAAGGTGGCTCTGACAAATTCATTGGAAGGGGAAGACCTGTGTCACGAATGCGTGGTAGAAGCCCTGGAGGTGGACACTTTTTCAACCCTTCAGCTGGTTATTGGGATCCTAAAAGGCAACATTCTCCCAATCACCATGGTGCTTACCGATCTGCCTGTCTCAGACCAAAAAGTGCTATTGAGGGCCGTGGATATGTTGTGTCCACAGATCAAACACTTCCTGAAGCTGCTGGTGTAACAGCAAGACCTGACAACCGCATTAACAGGCATTTTATGAGCTCAACCTCTAATAGTGGGTACCGTCCCCTTATGAGGCGGAGGTCCCCAGTAGAAAGGGATGATTCTTACGGTATGCATATGAGAATGGCAACGGTAAGAGATGGCAGTCCTGACAGGAGCCGGTTTAGAAGATACTCACAAGGGGTTGGTAGAGGTATGAGGAATGATTACCTCAGGCATGATCCAAATGAGGCCACTGAATATATAACTCGCCTGCCACATAGATTAGGCAGGAGAGAGAGGAGCATTTCTCCAGAAGGTCACTATGTTGAATCTTATAAGAAAACCCAGTCAAGGTCAAGGAGCCGTTCTCCCATGGGATTTCTTGTGCAGAGGGATCGAAATGAGGGTTCAAGACGTCACAGCAGGTTGCCTGATTTTAGATCTGATGCTAGAACTGATAGAGTGAGGTTGTTTCCAAAGCGTTTTCCTTCTGATTATGGAGAGAGCTTCATTTCTCCACCTCAAGATCGAATCTCACCACAGCGAAATTCTAGGGTTTTTGAGGATCGAAATTCTGGTCTTGACCATGTGAGGGGCCGTTAATCACCAGTAAGGATATTGCGGGAGGCAAAGTTCTAACTCAGTTTGTGCCTTTTGAAATGATACATTGCTTTGCTGGTTGTCAGGGATGTAACTAATGAAGTGGATGAGGAACATAAACATGGAAGCTGTTATAAGATGATACATCAAATAAGACTATTGCTCAGGTACAGTGCGTCAGTTTTGGTATGGTGCTTATGAGTCAGAATCCGCTGACAACTTTTGAATCCTCCCAATACGGCTGATGATAAGTGGTCATTTCAGAAAGGGAGGTGTATATTTCAGTAGAGGTATATTGCCTCTCATTTTCATGCTTTGTTTACTCCCGAATGAGAGATCCTTTTTCACCTTTGGAATCATTTTCATTTTTTCTTTGGGCAAGGAATCTTCCAAAAATCAGTCTGATTTTTTATTTTGGATGGTAGCTTTCCTTAGGAAATATAGTTTTCTTTGATCTAGGTTTGGTTTCACAACTTCCCCTCTTCTATTCTTATTTTCCCCTCAATGAGGCAATCCGTTGTAACCTCTACATTTGGCCGTTAAGTTATAATGTCAATGGAAATTTAAAGTTTCTGAAACTTTCATGCGTTCTTTCTGTGATTCTTTAGTTTCTTTGTTCCTTATTATATTCAAGTAAAATATACATATTTTCACATTCTAACATAACGGCATTGTTATAGAACTCCATTTTGTTGGTACTGACCTACTGACGTTAAGTAGATGAGAGAAAGTATCTTGTTCTTGCACAGGAAAATGGCTTCCCGTGAATGGACATTGTGTTTGTGATTGTACTGAGTTATCTTTCTTCAGCTTACCAGCTAAAGTTAATGAAATATTCGAAATGTTTTCTCTCCTCCCAGAAGCACATAATTATTTTGAAAATTTTCTTTGGACAAGTAAGTTATTGAAAGCCAAACCAATCAAAACCTTGGTTTGATGTAGGCACTTGTACATGCTTAAGAACAAACGGCTAGGCTGGAGGGAGTTAGAGAGGCGGTGGGGGATTTTTCTTCAAATCATTCGAAGGTGAGGCACTTGTTCTTAGTTTCTCGAATAACCGTCCGACCCAACAAGTAATAATAATATTAATTTTTAAAAAAAATTATTTTGGTTATAATTTTACTCTTTATTAAATATAGTCCTTTTTTTTAATTTTCCTTAATAACTGAAGGATATTTTTGTTTTTTTTATATTATAATTAAGTTTTTAGCATAATTAGAATTTTAATTTTCAAAAAATAATATAAAATAGTAAATATCATTATATTATTAATCTAATAATATAACTAAAAATTAAAAAAAAACAAAGAAAATCAAGATATTTTGCTATTAAAAATATCAATACATTTAATCATAATTATTAAATGTATAAGGTAAATTGTGAGTTTTAATTTTACCAAATTTATCGTGTGACTATTATTAAATACCTTAATATATCTTGATTTTTTTTCCAATTTAAAATATATTGTTACCTTCTCATCGTAACATCAAATGAGGATTTTATAACCTTAGCGTGATGGACAATCCATTGATGTGAAGGAAGCTTTTGAGTTGTATTTTTTTTTTTTTAATTATACAATTGGGGATTAAAAATAAAGGTCGTTAAGATTTAAATCTTAAATTTCTAAATATTATTATTTTTTAAAAAAATTGTGGCCACTACATCACAATGATTGTTCACTCTTTTGAGCTGTGATTAGTTCCTACAACTCAAAATCCTAATCAATTCTTCATGGTTATAACTTCTAAGCCTTCCTCATGATTGAATATTATCAATTAGTTGTTAGGCCCCCCAGCTAATTCCTCTCCCAGAAAAAGGCGCATTAGGACTCGTGGTAGCACAAATTCGTCCACAACGGAAATGCAAATTCAAGGTCACGTACACTTTATGTAATATATGTGAAAATCAAGCTCGAGTTTTTAACTTTTGATAGATTTAAGGGAGGTCATCCATGGAATTTTTGTCTAGTAATTTAAGATGAAGATATTAGTACTTTAAAATTTAAATGAATCTTGTATTTTATATAAGTTATTGTCTCACTTTATGGTAGTTTATTAAAATTAAGGAATTAAATTTAATTGTATTAGGATATGTTAGATGTTAATTAGTAGTTGATTAATTGATATTATGTTTATCCAATTTATTGTAATGAAATTTGTACCTACCTAAAAAAAATACTAGGTTCGAGCAAGCTTGTTGGTCACTTTGTGACAGTGGCTGAAAAAGAAAAAGCTAGTGCTGATGCATTCGTTGGCATTGGCCAGGTAATAAATTATGCCAAAAACAATCCTTTCCATGGCAATTTCCATAAAAACAATTCAAATAGCCACAATTCAACAGTGCGCAGGAGCCAGGAGGGACCCATGGGGCTAGAAATAAATCTGATGTTGGACCACAGAAAAATTATCATTGTTCCATGGACCATAAGCAGCAAGTGTATGATCATTTTTTTCTTGAACAAAAGTACATAAAGCTGATCAGTTAAGTACTTTTGATAGTTAGAAATTCAGGACAATGTCCTCCAACCTTCTGGTGTGAGGCTTTATCCATTTCTTGTGAAAATGGAGATAACCACCACAACCCAATTCAGCTAGGACCACGAGAGGGATAGAAAAATGGACAAAATTTGTCCCTGTTAATTAAAACCGTGTATGAAGCGGTGAGAAGATGTGTAGCTGTGTGCATCAAAACATCACAGATACAAGAGAAGAAGCCAAATACAAGCAATAATTTAAGTGAATAAGTCCAAACCATGCTGTGTTGAGCTTGGATGCGAGCTTGATGCTTTATATTAGAGCATAAGCTTCTGTTGGAAACAAAACCCAAATCACAAGCCACCAAAGAAACACCAAAGAGGATCATCCTCAACTGTGGGATATTCATCGTTTCTCCTCTCTTAACTCTCTACTCATTTTTTGATACATTTAATAGTGAATTATACAACAAAGAATAGTCTTTACAGGCCTTTTTCGAAATTCCACCCCTACTTTGTAGTTTTTTTTTTTTTAACAAATTCATTCATTCGTCCTTCATTGGGAAATCTTTTCCTCATTGTTCAACAAGAAGATAAGAAATTACAGATTCTATTTTGATGCTACGCATATCAAAACACCAACGAACTTAAGTAACTTCTTAAGATAATATGCTGCTTTTATTTCAAAATTGAAAGTTAAGAAGTATGATAGTCAAAAAGAAGAAAATACTTACAAGTATCTAAGAACCATTGTCCCAAAACCAATTCCAACAAAATTTGCAATTGCGACCCCAAAAATGCCAACAAGGATTGATGGAACAACCAGTGAGCCCCATCCTTTGGCTCTGGCCATTCCAGATGCTGTGGTAGGGCCTGCAATGTTGGCATTGGATGCTAGAAGTAAAAGCTTTAGATCTAAGCCAAGTAACTTCCCAAGTCCCAGTATCACTAGAAGATGCGTGGTCACTTGGACTAAAGCAAACAAGAAAATACTTGGTGCTGTGTTGATGACATTCCTTATGCTCCCACTTGCACCCACCACTGTAAAAAATACCTGGCATGAAGAATCCCAGTAAAACCTCTCAGATAGTACAAAACAATGTTGCTTAAGTGTGCTAAGACATCATCACAATAAAAGAGATACCGTTTCCTATAATGCAGATTAATTAGAGTTGAAGATAATTCAAGTACCTGCATGAGGACCAGAGCTACTACATCACCAGCAGGTGCAAGATAACCAAATTGTATTGGGAATACACTTGCCAAAATGACGATAATTGCTGTTACTCCAGTTAAGAAGCCCCCTCCAATTTGGTACAAATTTGTGAGATAAGTGGCAGTCTTGCATATCAGAAAGGACACTGCAACAGCTGTGGCGGTCTGAAGCATAGGGATCTTGCCCCCAGAATCAGGTTCTGACTTCATTCCATTATCTGCCAGAAGTTTTAATGAATGGGGAGAGGTTGCATATTGTAAGAACAATAATCCATGTTTCCTATTGTAAAATGATCCACAATTGAAAACACTGAGAATGCAATCTAGAACCACCAATTACATAAACAATATGTAAATTTATTAAAAGGATTTCATGGCATCAAGGACTCAACAATACCTACCAGTGGCTGATGTTGGAGCCTCAGGTGCTGTTCTAGAGGCCAATGCAAACATCAACATAGAGTATATGGCACAAATAACGTTATCTGCAGCAACTCCTGCGGCCAAAACTGATGGAGAAACAGAAAGAGCTTCTGAAATTGCAACATAGTTAACAGCTACAGGAAAAAAAAAAAAAAAGTCACTGATTTAGGACACTGAGATTTTAATTGAATGAAAGAAATCTGGAAGATATTCAAGGCATCAAAATTAGACATCAAAGCAATTGAATAAGCAGATTCTAAACATAAGCTCAAAATCAGGAAAAGGTCCAAAACATATTCGGTGTTATACGAGCCACCATTATAGATGCATTATTAGTCGATTATGCCTAACCATGTGTTTTTGTTTGTAAGGTACGGCCGCTCCAAGTAATAGCCTTCGGAGTATTTGCATTGTTTTTTTGAAATAACTCAGTAATCAACAAAAAAGAATAGGGTGTCATGAATGGTTGGTTATACTATAGAGTCGTCAAATCTCCTTGCATTTGTAACATGGAGCCGCAAAACCAAAAGTAAGAAGCAGTAACATTTTGAAGACAACTTACATCCACCAATATAACTACCCAAGAGAGCAGAAGCTATTCTCCAATTATCTTGACCAAGTGATCGCATAGGCACCATCAGAAAAGCCACTAGAGTTCCAATTGTAGTTGCAACTGTTGTATACATAAGAATAAAGACAATCATAAAAGATTCTCTACATGAGAAATCCAATGCAAGTAAGAACTTTACATCAACCCCATAAAACATGACACACTACTATAACATTGTTGCAATTTAGTAATACCTGATCCAAGCAAGAAAGCTTGTAGCAATGCCCCAGTTGACCGCATAACCTGCCGGACGTCTGCTCTAAACAAGAGCAAAGGAACAGCAAGTGGTAGCAGAAACTGCATGAAAATAGAATATGCGGGCGCTTGGTAAGGAATTATGCCTAGATTGCTGGCTGCTAGACCCAACAATGTGCTCAACAACGCCGAACTGATCTTGCTTCCAATCTTTGTCTTCTCTGCCCTTAATAAATCAACAGAAAACACTCAACATTACGAAACTAACAAAAAAAAAATAGAAGGTGCAGAGAGAGAGATATATATTACCAGAGACCAAAAGCACCAGTTACGAACAAAGCAGTCCATATCCCCCAATGGTCATCCGGAGAAACAATAGGGCACCTCAGCTGTGACCAGACCTCCAGAGGTCGAACAGGTTTACGGGACGTTGGTGAGAGATGGGGTACGTTTAAGGTAACAATCTGACGCCCGAGCTCGGGTTTTAGAAATTGGGGGGTTGAGACGGCTAGGAGTCTGCGACGGGAAGCTAGGGGTGACAGCAGCCGGATCGGCGGCAAGGTAAGAACGGTTGGTAAGGTGCAGGCCGCCATTGATGATCGATGTTTCAAGATTGTTGATGAATTTAAAGGCTCGCCAGCCGTTAGATTTGGAAGATGTTGAGTTGGCAAAAACCAACGTGTGTTGCTGAAATTTTGCCCTTAATTTTTGGCTGTCTGAAGATCATCAAAACGCAGACTTCATATTGGTCACCTCACTCCTAACAGGTTAAGAGAGATTGAATAGAAGCTAATGATATGATTGATGAAATACAACGGCTATATATATATATA